CAGGTTAAGCTTCTGCCTGTTTTTGCTGGGGAAAAAATGATAGCTACCAGTTGCTTTGTTCAGACTTGTCAACAAGCCGTTCAGTAACGTCCATACATTTTGATGCTTTTGCCAAGACATTACCATGAATCCATAAATGTCCTATGACCAGCCATTAACACACAAACAGCCAATAGGAAGCTATGCATTCACATACTCACAAAGAGCCCTCAGGATGTTGCCATAAGTAGACCTGAGTGCTGTGGTTTGACAATTTCAATCTGTCCGTTTGTGCAAGGTGATGAAAAGTTCCAAAATGGTGTCATTGGCCTCCATGGTTACCATGTTCTATGGATTAAGATGTTCTCCAACTGATAAGACCAACTGGATCTAGCTATCAGACATATAGAGTGATGAAATGACTTGCATAATTGAGGTCCTGGGGCACTCAAGATGACTATCAGTCTACACTAAAGCAATGTCAAGTTTTTGGCCAATCACAATATCTCTGGATTAGCAAAACTTTTAGAAATAAGAAGTTGCCGTTCCCCAGCTCTCAGTGCTCAAATTCCTAGACCCAAATGAATATCAGGTCAGTGAAGGAACAGTTATAAAAGAGAAGGAGCTGCGGAGGGTCACTACTGTCCTGTAGTTTGTCTTGGCAGCTTCAACAGGATGTTTTATACAGGAAAACCCTAATGGATCGACAACACAAATGTTGCCTGAACACCCATTAACAATCGATATGATATGAAGTCATAGTGGCTGCTGAAGATTAGAAGAACTGATGAAAACACCAAAGATTAATGCTAAAGATACTCTTCATCAGGTGAGACAAACAAGGTAAGGGCAGATTACACCTTGATTAACTGTACTTTGATGAATTCAGGAAAAATACAAAATGCAAGGTGTTTTCAAGACAAGATGTCATCGAAAAAAAATCAGGCTATCATTAGCCAGTCATTTATGGATTCTCCTCTGTCCTAATAAACATGAATACAGGATCCTATGGCATGACAAGACCTTTATAAACTGATTTTGATAGTCCTGAAAATATATTCTGACATTTCTCTCCTAGGTGTAGTCAATAAGATTATCAGTAGGGTAAATGTTTTGGCTTTGGTCAATGTGAAATCTTCCCTTCTATCACCGGAGTGGATAACAGCTGTTTGAATATTTAGATCCTCTTTCTAGGATTGCCTGTGAGTTCTAGTTATTCTTGGCATGCATAATGTAATACAGAAATAACACGGCTAGTGTTGATGCAGGACCTAATGTAATGCACTAGATCTCCTTTTTTTCCCTTTTTAACTTTCCCCTCTTGTAGCCTCTCATTACATGATGGAGTCTGCATTCCTCACACAGACATGATGATTATGCAATCTACACAGTGACAACACTTTAGATGCGTTTTGTAATGTAGAGGACACTCAGTAGGACATATGTGAGGAGAATTGATCACTTGACCCCCTTTGTGGTGTGGCATGCTTTGGGATATAACCTGAATATGATTTAATGTTGCAAGTTAACTTTGAGCCATTATGTGCAATACTTATTCTTTCCATAAACAAGTCTCTGCAGTGTAAGTCATTTATCCCCATATAAAACATGCAGTCATTTACACATGATTTGTTTCCTATTGTTCATGCTGATGTCTGCAAGGAAAAAAAAATTTATACCTGAATTTATTTTTAAACATTAGTTTTGTGCTTATGCCCTGCGATGGGCTGGCGACCTGTCCAGGGTGTACCCCGCCTTTCGCCCAATGTCAGCTGGGATTGGCTCCAGCACCCCTGCGACCTTGTACGCAGGATAAGCGGTTGACGATGGATGGATGGATGGAGTTTTGTGCTTATTTACTTATTTGGTTATGTGATTGTATACATTGTACATACTAGGCTGAAAATGCATTTGCTATATTTTCAATTGAAATGTATAACTAACATTTTGATCAGATCTTTGTTATATTTTTGGGCAATCTGTTAAACTTGTTGATGTGTCTAGTTTTTCTAATTGCTGTATTTTGCTCCACATTTTCAGATGAAAAGAATATTGATCATGTCTGTTTAGTATTACTTGACTGCAAAATTTCAATAGTTTTTAATTGTATGCTGGGAATGTTATATTTATTAACTTTTTTTTTAATACCTGATATAATTTTGATTTTTATTAAGTCATTTCACATTTATACATAGGTTACAATTTTTATATTTTTCGTCCTGATTAATTTACGCTACAATACAGAAGTCAGTTTTTATAGTTGGTTTGTAGTATTGTAAGTGAAACAAAGACCTAATGTCATATATATATATATATATATATATATATATATATATATATATATATATTATAATATTTGCTGCCAAATGTATGCATATTTGAAGTATTTTTAATGTGAGATGTTGAACAAATAAAATGGCTGTGAGGAAGACTAAAAAAGAGGAAAAAAAGGATCTGTGCTTGTACCAATCCTGTTCACTTTATTTATGCTTCCTTTAGGCAATATTATCAGGAAATATTCCATAAACTTTCATTGTTATGCAGACAAGCCAGATGAAACTAATAAGTTAGCTAAACTTCAAACGTGCCTTCTGAATATTGAAACCTGGATAACCTGTAATTTTCTAATGTTAAAAACTGAAGTTATTGTTCTGGGGCCCAAGCACCTCCGTGACGCATTATCTATAGTTATTCTGGATGGCCCTGGCCTCCAGCACTACTGTGAGGAATCGTGGAGTTATCTTTGATCAGGAAATGTTGTTTAACTCTCATATTATGCAACTTTCAAGGACCACCTCATTTCACCTACATAATATTGCAAAAATCAGGAAAATCCTGTATAAAAATGATGCAGAAAAAGTAGTCCATGCATTTGTTCCTGGATTACCGCAATTCCTTATTAGCAGGCTGCTTGAAAAAGTCTATTAAGACTCTTCAGCTGATCCAGAATGCTGCAGCACGTGTTCTGACAGGAACCAGGAAAAGAGATCATGGCTGTGTTCGAAACAGAAGGCAGTTGCTTCGCTGCCTCAATACCGTAATAGACAGCTGCCTCAGAAGGCATCACTTTCAAGTGAAGGCATCTCTGTTAACACTGGTTTCGAACAGCCTTCTAGGGCAGCACTTACGGCAACTGGTGTCTGGTGTCCCTTCTGGCTGGAAGAGATCATTCGAGCCGTTTCGAACAGCACTCGATGTCCTGAAGACACCTTCTGAGACAGCAGTTTAGCCCGTTTCGAACACAGCCCATATTTCTCCTGTTTTAACTTGTCTGCATTGGCTTCCTGTAAAATCCAGAGTAGAATTTAAAATCCTTCTTCTCACGTGCAAAGCACTGAGAGAGCACTGCGCTCCCAGAATGCAGGGTTACTTGTGGTTCCTAGAGTCTCCAAAAGTAGACTAGGAGCCAGAGCGTTCAGCTATCAAGCTCCTCTCCTGTGGAACCAGGTTCCAGTTTGGGTTCAGGAGGCAGACACCATCTCCACATTTAAGAGTAGGCTTAAGACTTTCCTCTTTGATAAAGCTTATAGTTAAGCTTATAGTTGCCAATTATCTGGCAACATAATTGTATACATAATCAGAATGTAACATGCATGTGTGTAACAATAACATTTGAGTCTGGAAAAGTATCCTCTGTGAAGAGGAAAAATACATGCGGTTGGACAGTCAGAAGAGAGAAGCCAAGCTCCTCTTTGGTTTTCCATTGGATCTAAAGTGAAAGGCTGGTCAAAACTGTCGATGCAATGTCCTTTCCATCTCATATTCCATATTCAAAGGATATGGTCTGGTTCACACTGCAGTGAGTTTGTCACATACACTGATGTCCATATGGGAGATGGATCATAAAGGACTGGCTAATCTCTTGAAACTCCATGAACTTTGGTTTATTTTTTTATTTATTTTTCTTTGCTCTTTTTATGTGGTGGGAGTCCTGTGACCAGGAATAAAAGTTTGGGGATCTGGTTGGAGGCAGGCAGCAGCTGCAGCCGCACAAGCAGATTGCCTGCTGCTGTGCTGACTGAGGACTGCTGAACACAAAGCATGAAAAGTGTGGATTCCCGCGGCCAAGGGCCTGCATGGTGGGCTCTGCACTCCCCGACCGGCCAGGGTAAAAAGGAACAGCTCAGTCAGCAGGCCAGGGCCACTGGAGCGATGAAAAGATAATTCTCTCCCCCACTGCAGCTGGACCTCATGCAGCGTCAAACCATTTGTGAGCAGTGACACAGCCAGATTGGGCCGAAAGGATATGAGTGGGAAACTTCAAAACCTGCTCATGTTTCTGCGAACGTGAAAGGATTTGTATAACACATTCAGATTTGATGGACTTTCCCATGTTCACTCTGGACAGCCCTTTTTTGTTGACATGTTCAAATAATGAATCTCTTATGTGTAGGATCTCTTTTTCCCCCCCTGCTCCTGATTCTTGTTTCTAGTTGTCAGGTAGGGATGCTGTACGGACCATTCCATCGTCTGTCCCAAGCTTATGGAGAACCGCTGACTAGCTGGCTTCCAGGAACCAGGGTGAGTGGTTCTACCTTTCGTAGAGCAACGGTTTGCCTTTTTACCTCAAGCTGTCATTAACAACAAGTGTCAAACCTTGTGAAACTACTCCTTTAATTTAGCTGTGTCCTCAGTACTGAGACTATATCTGAGACTGACAACGATTACGTGATAAGAGGTTTTTACAGGACAATGAGATGAGCACAGAGAGATAAGCCATTATACTTCATGAAATGACTGTAGCACATGACCCGGCATCATTTCTTACTTTGATGTCAAAGCTGCAGGTGTTCAAAGATAATTCAATGTGACATTTGTCTGCTTTGACTGTTTGGCAAGCATGTGAGAGATGTTCTTCTGAAGTCAAAACTGTTACAAGATAACTGAAAATCTTTCTCTCTTACATTTTTCTTAGCAAAAATAATTATACCTTATTCTATTATTATATATGATGGATGGATGATGGATTTCACTTTCTGTTTTTTCAGCCTTTAAAGTTATATTTTCTGAAGTGACAGATGAAGGGCATGGACTGGATTTCTTACATTAAGTGCAAATTCTTGCTCTGTTTCAGGTGCTGAAATGGAACATGTATTTTTGATTCTTTTACTCTTTAGTAAGGCCTTATCAGGTGGAGCTCAATTCAATGGGTACAACTGTGATTCCAACTTTCACAGCCGCTTCCCTGGTGAGGAACTCAAAGAAACTGACACAGATTCACACTTTTTGTTTCAGAATTATTGGAAGGAATTTACATGTGGATATACTTTGTAAAGTAAAGTTCTCCTCAAACTAGCTTCAGAGGCGATCATTTCATTTTTGTCCACATACCAATTCCTTCTAAAACTAATGGTTTTGGACTGTAGTCCCAGAATTGCACTTCTTTTCTATATATCTATATAACAAAATATCTTGTGATTCATTTTCATGTCTCATGTGCATTTGTGTGTGTGTGTGTGTGTGTGTGTGTGTGTGTATGTGTGTGTCTTGCAGCGGAGAGAGATATCAGTGTGTACTGTGGGGTGCAGACCATCACCCTCAAGATTAACTTCTGCCCTGTCCTCTTTTCTGGCTATACCGACTCTGACCTGGCCCTCAATGGTCGCCATGGAGATGCCCACTGCCGCGGATTCATCAATAACAACACCTTTCCCACCGTCGTAATCTTTAGTATGAGCCTGGCGACACTGGAGTCCTGTGGTAATTCCCTGGTGGTAAGAAGAACAGGAATGCTATAATCAATTGTTTTACAGAGTTACTGTCATCACTGACGCTGCACACTGTTGATGATGAGGGTGGATTTTGTGCTTTAACTGTATAGCAGGTAAGGTAATTAAAACAGAATGCCAATAGTATTAACGTGACATTTATTCATTTCATTGCGACTTGTATTTGTAACAATTCTAATACTTACTACTACAGGCAGAACAAATACAGACTGAAACTGAAAAAAGATCAGATGTATATTTTATTTTAGCCAGTCTCCTTCACTGTAGTCATGTTTTGATATTGTTGAAGTGTTCATGCTGCATGTTAATGAAGTCCAGCACTCGTTATCTCAGTGAAGGTGCTGTCAGGATGACGGATGAAAAATTATTCTTAAAACAGTTTTAAGGGCGTTATAAGTGAATCTTTGCTGAGCATGTTTTTGCTGAGTGTTGAGCTGGATGAAACGGAATCATTAGCAAGCCAGTAGTGTTAAACAACTTTATGCTGTTCACTGCAGGTCACCACGGCTCAAGGACCCAACGCTTACGGGAACCTATCACTGGTGCAGATTGGAAACATATCAGGATATATAGATACACCGGATCCCCCCACAATCATCAGCTACCTGCCAGGCCTGCTGTACAAGTTCAGCTGCAGTTACCCACTGGAATATCTGGTCAACAACACACAACTGGCCTCGTAAGTCTCACTCAAATGATCACCTCCATTTCTGTATAGGTTTGAAAGTGTTCTAGTGGGGAGCTTTAGAGGTCCAGCAATCCATAAATTAAAATGAGTTAAACTAATTGTTGGTGCCATTATCTCATTGGTCTGCCCATCAAGTGGGACTAGAAAAGGTCATTATTTTGATGACTAACTGTACAGTATAATGCAAACTTATTATAGCCTTTGTAAAAATGTGTGCTGTTCAGTTATTGTTGATGCTGTGTTTCTGAGGCTGTATTTTGTGATAATGTCAAATTTTAATTTTAAATTATTGTAAATGGGTGAACAAAATAGTATAAACAGCTACAATATATAATAACACAGTATAACAAACAAGTCCAGAATTTCTGAAATTTTGACTCCCAGGAAGGAAAAAATATTGTATATAGTATAATGCATTCTGAGACAACTCCACAATATGTGTTGAGTTAAATCAATATGTCTCAGGGTCAAAACAATTAGAACATTCTCAGCTTTGCAAGGTCGTGGCCTATTGTTTAATGTTATTAAATATAATATTAAATATAATTAAATTATATTTTAAGTGTTCAAGTTATTGTGTCTGCCTCCTGTAACTAAAATGCATAAAAACAGTCAAATGAAATTAGAGATTTTTGATGAAAATTTAATGATGAAGGTTGTCTAGATTCTGCATAGTATGATTCAGACATGGTGTAAAGATATTGTGTATGTGACCCATAAACAGTAGATGAATAAAGCAAAGTGAGAGATAGAACTGTTTTTAAGGTGCAACAAGTAAAACAACATATATGCTTAGGGAAATATCTTATATCAGCAACATGCAAATGTCACCTACAATATTGGAATCAACTTTTTAAATCGTTTTGGCAGCTGTGACCTTTTTTTTGTCTTTACTGAAGGTCCGCAGCTGCAATCTCAGTAAAGGACAGCAACGGTACTTTCATCAGCACATTGAATCTACTGCTTTACAATGTAAGTTACCGTAAGTTTAAATATCTGTTAAGTTGTTGCACTGGAGACAAAGCTATGCATTAAAGAGCATAAGAAGCTTTGCAGCTATGATAAGCTAAGTTAATTTGCACCTTTTAGATCTTTAATTGCAATGATTTCTGAGAATGACTACAGATAGAAACCGTTTTATGCTGCTCAAGAAGGGAGCAAATTAGCTTTAATCCCATAATTGAAGAAGATTATACTCAATTTACCCTCCATTCATTTCAAGCCTGGCATTACATTCACTTGCCACATTGAACCAAACACTGGTAAATGGGATTCTATGGAAACCAAATGATAGAACTAAATGCTAACTGGGCATATCACCAACAAGATGAAAGAAAATAGTGAAAGAAGTGCTGAAATACTGTAATTTATGTACAGGACTCATCATACATTCAGCAGCTGTCCATCCCCATGGCAGGACTGACCTTGAAGACACGGGTGTTTGCAGCTGTAAAAGCTACTAACCTGGATAGGAGGTATTCCATCAACATCTAGCCATTCACTCTGAATATGTCACCAGCAGACACACTTTATACCAAAACCACAAAAACTACAGGTTTTTATTTTGGACCCCTCAACAGAGGCAGAATATTAGTTATTCTTTGTCTTCTGCCAAGCTGTTGGTTTATTTTAATGGAAATAATGTGGTTAGTACAAGACTGTGTAGAACAATACACAGGGCTGTAAAATGACACATTTAACTACTGCACAATGTGAAGAACGACACCACTGAACAATATTTTGGTGAAGTGAAAGCAGAGTAGGAAGTTCTTGCACAACTTCACCTACCTTCAAGGTGCATGGAGAAAAAAGTCTGAAGAGGTCAAAATTCCAGCAACTCTTGTAATTAGGTTTAGGGATCGATACCCGGTTCTGAAAATCAATAAGGTCCAAGATGTCTGGGAAGGTTCTCAGTCATCCAGGTCATAGTTATCCAACGAAGGTTGAGGTCAAGGGCAACTGGACTTGTTTGAAGATACTAGAAGACATTTCGTCCCTTGTCCATGAGGGCAATTCAGCCCTTGACCTCAACCTTTGTTGGATAATAAGGTCCAAGCTTATCAATTCTGCTATCGAGACTAGCGGGTCCTTTAATGTAACATTATGTCTCGAAAGTCAAGTCATGTCGCAATGACTAAGAATTCTACTGTTATTTAGGGATGGGCACTGATATTAAACGGGCCCAAGGCTGAAGTCCATGGCGTTTATTATCAGGCTGCAGCCTCTGCCTGCTCTCTGTCTCCTCCTACACACACACACACACACACACACACACACACACACACACACACACACACACACACACACAGGGGCCAGTAGAGACAGGCTGCAGTGGAGACGGTAAAGTGAAGGATAACTTCAAACTATTTGAGTTGATGACAGCTACGCTCGTTACTGTAAGTAAGTGCAATAAAACCATTTCAAGTAAAAAGACAATACTTTATCAATACATGTGTGTAGTGTAAACATGTAGAAAGCTTAATTTGAATGCTGTGCTCTGTCCACAGTCTCTTATCCTCCATGCTTTATCTAAGCACAGCTAACGTTAACTTGGCAAACAAGCTAAATTGAAAGATGTCTGTCTGTAACATAGACTAGTCTGTACCCTTAAAATGTGGAACTAAGCTGCTGGCAGAGTAAAAACTAGCCGCTCCTCAATCAACCAGGTTACCTGCAGGCAGTTAGCAGTAGAGAGAGGAGGAAGACAAGAGGAGGGACTGATTCTGACTGATGTCTGAGTTCTTCATTCTTTCTAAATGTCACTCAGTATTTTGATGTCAGATATTGGGTTTATATAGTGACTTTGCTGTTGTAAACTTTAATGCTGCTGCTCTAGAAACAACCTTTAGTTAATTTAAAATTTTAACCCTATAATGAATTTGAAATCAACCAGGCAGCTAACAAACTTCAATATTTGTTTATTTATGGCAAGTGATATCATCATCTCAATATATAACGATGTTATCGCAGATTTTCCTCATACTGTGCAGGCCTACTTCACACCCTCGTTCGCTTCATTTCTCATTTGGTCAGTTGGTTGCTTGCTCAGATGGCTGAACATGCAAAGGATTCAAAGGATTGGCTTAATTTTACTTAAGCCAAAGATCAGGAGTAAGTGAAATTTATGCCATTTATGTTCCGACTTAATTTCTTGTACGTGGCGGGCAATGTCAAAGAACAACAGTTGCAGTACTTTCGACTGTTGGGTCTAGTCTTACCAAATAACCGTCACCAAATAATAGACTAGTATCGATGGTGGTATCGATAAAGACTCGGCTTGTTAAGCAGTCTCAATAATATCCAAATATCCAAGATGGCGTTGAGTATAGCTGCCTCGGTGTTAGGTGCGCTTTGTTTTGTTTTGTTTTTGTATGTTAATTCAGTTTTCGGCTGTGATTCCCGGTGCTCTTTCACCAGGAAGGAGCTCATGAACATCAGGGGAACAACTCCAGTGAATTTAATTCCCACTTTTCTTGCGTCATAAGTGGAATTATTGGACATTTTGGTGAAGGGCTCTCTCGCTGTCGTTCACGCTGTGAAGCGCCGCAGAAGAGGAAAAAGAGCCGGATCACTTGTGCGTCTTCACCGGCCGGGACTCTGCACACCGCTACCGGCAATATTTCTCTCCAACGTGCGCTCACTGTGCAACAAACTGGACGAACTTCAGCTTCTGGTGGGGAAAAACAGAGACTTTTATTCATCTTCTGTTCTGTGCTTCACGGAGACGTGGCTGTGTGAGCTGATACTGGACTCCGCGCAGGCTGCCTTCCAACTGTACAGAGCGGACCGTGACACAGAACTCTCCGGCAAAACAAAAGGTGGAGGTGTCTGTTTTTATATTAACAATGGCTGGTGTAGCGACGTGACAGTGATTCAGCATCACTGTTCTCCTGGAATCATTAACTGTAAACCATTTTACTCCCCCCGTGAGTTTGTTTCATTCACTCTGGTCGGTGTTTACATCTCACCGCACGCAAGCGTGCACGACGCACAGAGCGTGCTGGCTGACCAGATACTGTGTGTGGAGCAGACAAACCCGGACTCCCTTGTTATTGTTCTCGGTGACTTTAACATGGGAAATCTCAACCAAGAACCCCTTTGGATCACTGCTACACCACAGTTAGCAGTGCCTATCACGCCGTCACACGCGCTCCACTGGGACACTCTGATCACGTGATGGTCCATCCGATTCCTGCTTACAGGCAAAAACTAAAGCTCTGTAAACCTGTAGTGAAGACATCAAAGAAGTGGACCAGTGAAGCTGTTGAGGACCTCCAGGCATGTTTGGACTGCACTGACTGGGATGTTTTCAGGACTGCTACCAACAATCTGAATGAGTTTACAGAGGCTGTGAAGTCCTACAGCAGCTTCTGTGAGGACAGCTGCATTCCAACACACACCAGGGTGAGTTATAACAAGGACAAACCCTGGTTCACAGCTAAGCTCAGTCAGCTGAGATTGGAAAAGGAGGAGGCATTTAGGAGTGGTGACAGGGCCGGGTGCAGGACGTTAAAGTACAGGTTTAGCGAGGAGGTGCGAGAAGCTAAACGACTGTACGCAGAGAGACTAAAGAACCAGTTCTCTGCAAACGACGCCACTTCTGTCTGGAGGGGGTTCAGACAGATCACAAACTATAAACCCAAAGTCCCCCACTCCATAAACGATTCTCGCCTGGCAAATGAGCTGAACCAGTTCTACTGCCGCTTTGAAAGACACCATCCCCCGTGACTCCTCCGCTCAGCTTCAGCCTCAGTCCACCACATCTTCCCGCCTCTCCTCAGAGCTGGCCAGCTCCACCCCCTCCCCTCCTCTCCATCACAGAGAGGGAAGTCAACGGTATTTTTAGGAGGCAGAAACCCCCACAAAGCAGCTGGGCCGGACTCTGTCTCCCCATCCATCCTGAAGCACTGTGCTGATCAGCTGTTGCCAGTGTTCACAGACATTTTTAACACCTCACTGGAGACATGCCATGTGCCAGCCTGCTTCAAAGCCTCCACCATCATCACTGTCCCCAAGAAACCAAGGACCACTGGACTAAACGATTTCAGACCCGTCACCCTGACCTCTGTAGTTATGAAGTCCTTTGAACACCTTGTGTTGTCCCACCTAAAATCCATTACAGACCCACTCCTGGACCCCCTGCAGTTCACCTACAGAGCCAACAGGTCTGTAGATGATGCAGTAAACATGGCCCTTCACTACATCCTCCAGCACCTGGACTCACCAGGAACCTACGCCAGGATCCTGTTTGTGGATTTCAGCTCTGCTTTTGACACCATCATCCCAACCCTGCTGCAGGACAAGCTCTCTCAGCTGAATGTGCCTGACGGACAGGACATGAAGCTGGGAAAACATGTCTCTGATTCCAGGACCATCAGCACCGGATCCCCTCAAGGCTACGTTCTTCCCCCGTTCTCTTCTCCCTGTACACCAACAGCTGCACCCCCAGTCACCAGTCTGTCAAGCTCCTGAAGTTTTCGGATGACACCACCCTCATTGGGCTCATCTCTGGTGGGGATGAGTCCGCCTACAGGTGGGAGATCAACCATCTGGTGACCTGGTTCAGCCAGAACAGTCTGGAGCTTAACACTCTGAAGACCATGGAGATGGTCATGGACTTCAGTAAGAGCCCAGCCCCACCCTCCCCCATCATCCTGTGTGACTCCCCACGGTGGACTCCTTCCGCTTCCTGGGCCTCAAGTGGGAGCTGAACATCACCTCCCTCACTAAGAAGGCCCAGCAGAGGATGTACTTCCTGCGGCAGCTGAAGAAGTTCAGCCTGCCAAAGACAATGATGGTGCACTTCTACACCGCTATCATTGAGTCCATCCTCACCTCCTCCATTACCATCTGGTATGCTGTTAGCCTCATTAACAAGGCCCAGGTCCCCCACTGACACATATTTGTTGTCGATTGTTGATCTTTGTTTGTTGTATATTTCCATTCCATATTTATATATTTCTACATTTATTTATGTTGACTGTATGTTTATCTAAGTGTAGCACCTTATCACCACAGCAAATTCCCCGTATGTGTAAAACACTACTTGGCAATAAAGCTCCTTCTGATTCTTCTGATTCTGATTCTAATGATATCAATATTAATAAAACTTAACCATCCCCATCCTTACTTGTAATATGAAGAACAACATTATTATGATAACTCTGATGACCCTGACACAAGCTGAAACGCATTAGTCTGACAATAAAGTTATTATTTGACCTTGTCTCTTTTGACGTGATGCCAGATCACGTTCCAGAAGAGAAAGTTGAATGTTCCTAATTTCTTATATATGATGTTTAAGAATTACTGTTTCAATGAGAAATGCAGCCAGACTTGAAATCTGAAAGATTTTATTACCCAGAGTAGGAAGTACCTTAACTTCTCACAAATTATGAAAATCACTGCTGGTCTTTTCTATGTCAGTCTCAACTATGTCAGAGAGCTTTCATGAACTAAACATGTATTTCCTGACTAGTGAATGTTGCTTTCTCTGGATATTAATGCCCTGCTCTCCTCCCCATCTGGGCTTGAAATAATGTAATTAATTGGACTGGATTATGACTGCATTTTGTTATTACTTCTAAATATTTTTGCTTCAGGCAGACAGACATCTCCCATTTGGTTTTAAGATGACTGTGATTTAACTATGTGAAGTCTTTGTCTTGTGGTCATCTGATCTTGTCTTTTTGGCTGATGGTGGGTGGAGAAGGGACTTTGCCTGAAGGGAGGGTGTGAACAAAAGGACTATACATGTTTTGTGAGTTAGGCTTATTGTTAACCTTACCTCCATAGTCACCAGTGATATATTAAGTCAGTCTACTCCAATGTCCAATCCTGTCTCTTTGAAATGATGTTTATATACCACAAATTTTTAACAACTACATTTGTTCTTATTATACCAAATATGGAATGATAAAATATTGTTAATTAAGATATAAGACTTGCCAGTCGTAAATTGATTTTGACCAAATGAAATAAATGATTGGCTGGCCTAACTGTCTGTCTACTTACCTACCTGCCTACTGACCTAGCGTTATTCTTTTTCAACTCTTATTTGACGAACACCAGCTTTACTTAACCCTGTACTCTCCTCTGCCTCTGATTGGCTAACCCTAACCCTGACTGAACCCTAACCCTCACCATCCATATCCAACAGAGAGCTGCAGCTCTCTCACTTTTTTCTACATGTTTAAAATATATATGCCGTTTTTTGGCATCTATCTCCTCCTGTACCGTTTGTCCTACAAACCTTGTTTCAACTTCAAATTGGACATATTTTTCATGAGCTGTGTGCTATTATTTTTATTGCTGATATCTGTAATGGTTGATGTTATATTAATATTTTTATGCATTTTAAAAGAATGTACGATTAGAAACTCAACTTTTTTCCAACCTACTCAACTGTAAAAGCTTACTAATATGGCATATGTGCAGCTACAGACTCCAATTAAGCTTAAAACTACTGAAAATATGTTGATCTTTCCAAGTTGTACCTGCTAAATCTGTTTAATTTAGAGATATTTACTTCCAAAGTGAAAGGTTTAACAGATTTTTGGAGATTTCATCAGTATGTCACATGACTAGTCACACAGATTCATCTCCATAAGCACATAATCATAAGAATCAAGTCTTTTTCTCTCAAAATGCAACATCTCCCTCAATGGAGGTTTAGTTTTTTAGATTTAAACCTAAATTGATAGGTAACCCACACTCTTGGTCTGATTGACTCCTGTGATTTATATTTTTATGCTCAGCTACTGATGTATATTTTAACTCAAGCTCTAATTAAAAATACTAAAATGAGTTGAAAAACTTTCTTTTTAAGGCAAATGCACTTTTCCATCAACAAAACATCAAATTGTGACCATTATAGGAAGAGTGGTGAGTTCACTTGGTAGAGTGTCTGTCTTCAAAGCAGCACTTATGGTGCCAGACATGAGTTTAATTTCCACTGCCGATAGTGTTAATTGATTACAACTTCACATAGCTATATGGTGTATGAACTTAATGATGCCAACAACATATTCAGTTTGCACTGAATTGTAGAGGTTGTTTTAAAATTTGTATATTGTCGGTCTTTCTAAATGCAAACAAATGTGTTTTTATGGAGGGGTTTTGGAGGGAGCGGGTAGGATTTTTTTAATTGGATACTTTCAAAATCTAGCTCTCTCTTGCTAGTTTCTCCAAACTCACCAAGCCTAGGTTTAAAGTTAGGGAGAGTTTTGGTTCTTGGTTAAAGATCCACTACTGCATACCGAAGTCCCTCCAGGATTTCGTAGGCCTTTTTTGTTATTGTTGCGGTCAAAAATCCCTGATTTTGCGGCAGCTTTTCTAAAAAATTGTGAGGTTAAGTGAAAACTGCATGGTAGATATGTTTGTTTTTAGGGCCTGAGCACGAACTGTGCGAGGTCCCTATTCAAACTGAAGGGATTTTTTTTAGGGTCCAAGCATGAAACATGTGAGGTCCCTATTGGAACTGAAGAAATTTTTAGGGCCCGAGCATGAGCAGTGCGAGGTCCCTATTGAAACTGAAGGAATTTTTTTTTCTGCAAAATGACTCACCAAACTTTGCACATAATTCAGACGCAGCGAAAAATTTCGTATTTTATGGGTTTCCCACTTGGGCATGGAAAAATGGCTCGCTAGTTCCAATAGTGACAATTCAAAATATATAATTATAATAGAATATAATCGAGTGAGGCTGTCAGACATTCTTATTGCTTTTAAATATTTATCAACTTATTTAATATCATCCCTGCTGAGTCAACACACATGATTAGGAGGTGCTCATGCCGGGGAATACGAAACTAACCAACAACACTTAGCTGTGATCAGACTGTGGAATAATTCCACACACGTTAACTTCAGCACCTCTGATAAAGTGCCGCTTACAATCCCCAACAGAGCAAGACAGGGCTTCAGTTTTTAACTTCACATTTTTATAGCCTACTGAAACTGCATTATATATCTGCTTTGGCACAAACTGTCTGCGACTCACAGCGCGAGGAGGGTCGACGTCACTCGCTGGTGTCGCAGAGAAGTTGCTTTCAGGAAGTCCGACAGCAGAAGATCCCTTTTGTAAATGTGTAACCACTGAGATAACAAGACGTTCACGGTGTATTCCTCAGAGAAATAAACACTTTTCCACAAAGAAAGAGAACGTCAATTTTCCAGAGTTTACACAGTAAACGCCATGTGGGTAAAATTTTAAAGATGATACTCTGACTTCCCGTTCTCGTGAAGGCAGCACAAAGCTGCACCACAAGTAGCTGACGGAGAAAAAATACACCGTCTCGTCCAGTTGCAGTGGACAAATCTGGCAGGTTTTACTGTTGCAGACCACAGTTTTTTGCAAGTAGTTTGAAGTTTGAACTCGTATTGTTGTGAATCTCAAATGTAAACTCGCCTTAGAATTTCCAACTAACAAACGCCCCCCAAAAGCAGCTCAGCGCCCCCCTTCCAAAATATTGCTTCCAGCGCCCCCCATCGTACTCATGAACGCCCCCTGGGGGTCAGTACCACCCCCGCTGAGAAACACTAGTCTACATCCTCACATCTGCACCACATTTTACACGTATAATAAGAGTCGCGCCCTGAACACATCCACATGCCAATATTCACCCACACTCATAGCACCACCTGCTGGCAACAGGAAGTGACCTTTAACGAAGCAGCCCCCGCCGCACGTTTGACCTACATGTATGAAACTTCTGTGGCACATGTATCATGTCCAGACGTACCAAAAAACCTCTTGGAGCTATGCTCCAAACCCAACAGGAAGTCAGCCATTTTGAATTTTATGGTCATTTTTGGATGATATACACACTCCGTACTTTAACGAACTCCTCCTAGGGAATTAATCGGATCGACTTACATTTTGCACCATGCATTCTAGAGGCATTGACAATGAAATATTGTGCTATCTGTGAGTTTTCGTCAATGGGCGAGTCCGTGGCGTGGCGTCAAATATCAACTCTTCGCCATGACACAGGAAGTTGTTGTAACTTCAGTGTACATGCTCACATCTGAACAAAACTTTACTTGCTTGATAACTGTCCCGCCCCGAACACATCAACACGCCAATATTAATAGTGCCAACTGCTACGTAGCGCTACAAAGGGGACACAGGAAGTGACATATAACACCTTCATGCAGCGTCCGAAGCATGTAGCATATTCACAGCCGCGCCGGCAAAGATCCAGAATATGCAACGTGGCCCTCTCACACCCTGACGTGCTACACGTGCAAGGGCCCGCCCAACGCTGCTTGCAGCTTTAATTTTACTTTAGAATTAGAGTTAAATAATTAAACTCATAACCTTAGCATTGCACATTTAAACCAGCTTACCTTAATTCAGTCAGCACTTGCAGCTGACCGGGCTGCAACAGCCTGTGTCTCAGTGATATGTATCGTCTCCGTGTGTTTCTGCCACTCTGTGTGTCAATCACGATTTATTTATGTTCAACCACAATACTGCATGTTTTGCAAAACAGTTTACCCTCTGCTTTGGTAATGAAGGTTGATACTCTTTTTCACAGCTTTTTTTTTTTGACGGCAAATGTGGTATGGCACATGTCTGCTGCAATGACGAGCTGATGTATGACAACGTTGTGCAGGAAACTGCGAAAAGTTGCGGTGATTGGTCAAAATTGCAAGTTGTGCTGAATTCACTGGGATTTGTTTAATTTGTGTTAATAGTTGTGATTGCAACATCATGAAATCCTGGAGAGACTGATACGTTCTGCAAAGTAAAGCTCAAACATCCAAGTGAACAATAAGCAAAACACATTTTTGTCTACGGAGGGACTTTAAATATTAAAATACTCAGATGTAGCTATAAGACACAGTATGTGCTTCATTAACATTTAACCAAAACCACCATCTTTCCTAACCTTAACTAAAGTGCCTAATAACAAGCAGGACTCAAAATGTGAACAGTCTCTGGTGTCATAGTCCTGCACTTTGTGCGACCACCATCCAGCCTGACCATTTCCCTATAACTCACTAGCGGTATATAAATGTAATGCTTCCTACAGTAGAAAAACATTACCCGAGAACATAATCCAGGTAGCAATGAAATGTCCCTGCAAAATATTATTGGGAAAACAAATTAGTAGTATATCTTTGTAATTTCAAGGAGACAAGGTTGTAAATGTCACATGATAGTTCTAGTTATTGAAAAGACAAAGACCATTTGGTAACAATCTTCTATTTACCTACCAGGAAAGGGAAGTAATGTGCCACCAAAGTGAATGAGTAGCCCTTTACATCTACATGACCGCATTTGCATTTAAGTCCCTGAAATCTGAATTTACTAATCCTTAATGTTAAATAGATGGAACATTCTAATGGACTACTGTTACACCACACCCTCTGGAAACCCTAACGATGACCTCCGCTATGATCTTTTCTTTAGGTAACTCAAATTTGAAAGCAGATCTATGATTGTCTTTAGTTTCTCTTGCTATCCTTTCTAATAATACTTTTTAATTTTCTCTCCTTGAGACAGCTGTGAAAAAGACCCCCAGACCACCGTCTTTGAAAATGGGAAGAGCCAAATGGGCCGCTTTGCCTTTGAAGTATTCCGCTTTGTAAAGCACAAGAACCAGAAGATGTCCACCGTATTCCTGCACTGTGTCACCAAGCTGTGTCGAGCAGATGACTGTCCAATGCTCATGCCAGTGAGGCTAACAAATTATACTTTTACACATAACATGACAAAATATTAGGAGAAATACTTTAAACCTTTCTACACTGATTCATTTCATGAGTGAAGCATGCAACGAAGCGACTCCAAGTTTCACCTGGATTCATCTGCTCAGCTTTCAAACATTCACTCATACATATAATCAGTGGTGGAAGTACAATTACTCAACTACGGTTCTTAAGTTTAATTTTGAGGTACTAGTTTTCTGCATTATTGAATTGGTACTTAAATAAAGGCTCTGAAAACCTCTTCCTCCACCAATAACCATACACATCAATTACTAAAACAGAATGCCAGGCTGTCCATACATCATCACACAATAATATTTGATGGTAATTCTTCACAATGTAAATTGACATTATTGCCAAAAAACAAACTCAACTTAAACCAAAAATACACATTCCTGTGGATCATAAAGAAAAATGTGTAAAAGCTTATATACTTGCAAGATGTTGTTACAGAGCTGGGGTCTCATTTATAAACGCTGCGTACTGGAAACATGCGTACCACTTCCCAAGCAAAGGTTGTGATCTATAAAAAACAAACTTGATGGGAAAATGTGCATACTGTAAGTAAAATTTGAACCATGCGTACGCACATAAAGAGGAGAAATGAGAAACAGCGACTCACATGGCAGAAGGATGAAACTGATTGAAATGAATAGGCCTACTACTGTGTAAAATATATCGAAATATTACCTCTGAGTAGTATAGGTTTAAAGCCTTTCTAAATAATCATACACTCATTTGATTGATTTTTCCCTGAAGTGTGCAATAAAAAAACATAATTTAAGATCATTTGCGGCGCACAAAAAGAACCATGACTGGAGATGATAAACACAAACAGAGATATCTGTTCCTGCAATAGAACACCTCAAATATGTTGGACAGTTTAATCAGGATTCATATTAATTAATAGGCCTACATGCATGCATTGAAATGTATTCTCATAAATAAGGTGAACAGGGGGACAAATTATATTTAAATTGATGTCGTTTTCAATGCGTCAATCAAGCAAATACAAGAGCAGAGTTTCATATATTGTTATCACATGTTCATTTCCTTATCGAGCCAAACGCTGAGCGCAGTGTGTGGATTTGATGCACTGCTTGTAAAAACACATTATGGAGAAATAACACTATTTTATGTCATTTACAACAAGTCACAGGCTATTTTGTTAACTCATCGCCAGCCTTGTTAAGGGAGTGGAGTGTTTGTGTAGCCTAAATACATGTTTAAACAAAGGTGGAATGCATTTGGTTTACTCTCTTTTAAAACGGGGGATCCAAATTAGTACCTGGGTCATCCTGTCTTGCGTGTGTGTGTCCCCCTCCAGCCAGTGACGTCACTACTCAAGAGGGATGCCCCTTCCTGCAGATCGGTTATAAAGGGGTGGAGCTCCGGTGCCCACTTTCCTTCCGGTGAACAAGCGTTGCATGAAAGTGCGTTTTTTTACCCACCAAACAACTTGCTTCAGCTTCACCAAAAAGAACGTCAGTGTCACACTGAGTTAAATCTCGTTTTGTAGCTTCTCTGTCAGAATTTGCCTCCTTTTGTTCCTGCAGTCAGTATGTATTAATATTAATGAGCATTGACCATTTATAGGCAACTATGGGCGTTTAAAGAATCGGACATTGAGCTCCTTCATATGCGCCACATTTAAGTTGATTGTGATTTATAAAGGGAACTTGCTTACAAGTGTGCGTATGCATGGTTTTATAAGTCAAAATATTTTTTGGCGTACGCCATTTTTGGCTTTTGGGCACACGTACACTTTTAGTGAGGTTTCTACACACAGTTTCATAAATGAGACCCCAGGTCATGTATATTCCTCCAGGTTAGGTTCCTGCTTTTCAATCCTTTTTTGGGGCCTTTGACAGTGGTCAGGCCAGAGCCGCTTCATGACATAACAGGTAATCAGGCAAGGTTCCTTCCTTCAGTCAGTATTGGCTGCTCTCACACTGTTCTGTTCCCTCACTCTGCTTCCATTATTTTAAATTCTAAATCACTAAATAGTAGTCAAATGGAGAATAATACATTATAGTGTTATACTGTAGGATATTGATTCAAATCACCATGAGACACATCCAGTGTTTTTTTATTTTAAAATCAAAACATTTATACATAATATCTCAAATTACAATGTACCCTAGAAAAGCGCAAAAATTATAAAAAGGCAACATTAATGGGACATCCAGTGTGTATCTCCTGAATTCCTTATGATGAGAAAGTGGCACTCATCAGGGGGGTTTCATTCTGCTACCATATCTCTCTTTGCTATTTTTCATAGATCTGTGGCAGCAGGAAAAAGAGAGATGTCTCAGAGGGAAAGGAATCAAACGTTGCATCTGGGAACGCCGTCCTGACTGCCGGGCCTATCATCACTCGGAGTGGTACAATAACACTCCTCTTCCTCTGTTATTCCTTTTCCTTAGCATCCTGTTTCTGAGGAAGAACCTTTTCTTCCCACCTGAAACACAATACGTCTCTTTCCATTCTTTCATACTGTCACATTCTTCTTCTTTGCTGTGATTTGTAACTGCTCCACAAGCTGTTCAACCAGACTGGATGTATTAAAAAGTGTGTCAAATCAAGGTCTGACACTGGGATGATGACTGATGATGAGAACTTATCTGGGCGACCTACATAGTCAGAGAGTGCCTGAAGGCATACTGTTGGTAGTTGACTCATGTGCTGTACAAGAAAACAAGTATACTGAATACAATGTATTGCTGTTTCCCTTAAATGCCTTTTAATTTTTTTTCACAGATGAAACGCCAACCAACAACTCTCAGCTGGGTAAGCCCTCACATTTACTCAGTAGAGGGGAATGACACATTTAAATGTAGTATTGCCTTTCATTATATGAAAGCCATTTCAAATGAAAAGCCTTTCAAATTAAAGGTAAGTCACAGTCCATCCATCCATTGTCAAACACTTATCCTGCGTACAGGGTCGCAGGGGTAAGTCTTAGTCTCAGACTCATACTTATCTACACTATGTTATATATCTTTTACCTACCTTATCCTGTGATGAAGTGCCCTTTTCCCTCCATCTGATTTTTGTATTTATGAACTGGACATGTCTCAGCGCAACATTAAAAGCTGTGTAATTTTTCTTAGGAACAAGAAAAACAAACCAACAAATAGATTGGACTGAGAATTGCTCAGTGCTTCACCAATATGTCTTTGAATGGGGCATTTTGCATTCAGGGTGAATTTAAGAGCAATTATTGATAGGTGGTTGAAATATGAACACATCTGATTGTTTCTTTGTGTTTGTCCTGCTCCAGCCCATCTCAAAGCTCCAGTGTTTCAGATAAACACAGTGACAAGTGCGCTCATCTCAGGCATGATCATCCTGGGCGTCATGAGCGCTTGCTTCTTCATCTTCTCCCTCACCCTCCTCAAAGGCAAGAGCACTCCTGTCAGCACCCTGTCTGGAGTTCGCAACCCAGCCTTCAACTGATCGCCTCAACCCAACTTACTGCAGACACTCCTCCACAACCCACAATACTAAGCAAGAGGCAAACAACAGCTGTGACATGATTGTGCATGTAGTGATTTTACGGGAGTATAAAAGCTAAATGTCGATGTGCATTAGTGTAGAAGTAAAGCAGGAATTTTTATATGTCGTTCTGTACATAGCGTTTCAATAAGTGGCAGGCTAGGCCTCAACCTGCATGTGATCATTTGTCATGCAGCTTTGACCCACATAGTGGGGATACTCATAACTTAATTCAATACCTCAGCTATACAGCTTTCAATTGCAGGGTATGTATAGGATCAATTTCAAAGCTTATTACATTATAATATCTCATAATCTGCTGGTAAAACTTGCATTTCCTGCTAAGAGGCCAAAATATAAGACCAGTTAATTGAAAATATAACTTGAGAGACTGAGGGAAACTCTTCTGTGTAAAGTTAAGTTGATTAAGTGAATAAGTGAGCTAACCAAAAGCTTGGTCATTAAGCTTAAGTTTTCTTTGCATAAAATCTAACTTTTAAAATGACATTGATATAATAATAATAATCTTTAATTTATTAATATTGCTATATATTAGACCGATAGTCTTATGATTAATCAATTGATAGGTCTGTTATCCCTAAATATGTAGTTCACTTTCTCACTTTAAATTTTTCATGCAGTATGGCAGCAATAAACTTGTTTAAGTTTAATTTGTACATGAACCCAATGTAATTGTGTATAACTTTCCCAAAATGTGTTCTAAAATGCCATCGATGATCTACTCCTGAAATGTGCAAATTATGTACAATTGTGCTTATTGCAAATATTGCACTTTGACTTATGATTAAAACATGCCTGGTGTCATGTTTCTAAAGATACAATGAATCTCCTCATAAACTCGACTGGAGAATTTCAGTCAATGACAACAGGGCGACGCAAGATTCTTCAGGAAAAAAAATTGTAAAAAAGAAATATCCTATTTCCATCAATCTAGCAAATAACATTATATGGGACAGATGCCTTGATTGACTTACAAATGACATATACAGGGTTCGAGTTACGTGGGAGCTCAGTTCCCCTAAGGAGGGTCTGAGCTCCCATGGAAGCAGTAAAATCATGCATCTGTGGGGGTCTCTAATTCATTTATCAACAACCATTATTTAGAAACACAAATAATGTATTTTTCATAGTAATTGGTACTACTATTATTATCAAGCATCGCATGACTGACAGGATGGCTACGCACTTCTCCACCATCAGCTACTATGTGGGCACAAGTTTTGACTGAACAGGTTGAGACCGCGACCCGCGAAAATAAACTCACTTGTATTGTAGCCTACTGTATTACTCTGTATTGACTGCAGCTTATTTGTTTGGTATTATTGGCTTTTTGATGCATTCTCCAATTTGTACAGTGCTATGATAATATGCTTGCTACTGTGTGCTGGCGACAAACAGTGCGTAAAATAATAACACTTTAATATTACCATAATGCGGTCTCTCCTTGAGCAAAGTAGGCCTACAGCTGTGTGTGTGTTTGGTAACATTAGGTAGTAGCCTATATTAGCGACCCCCACAAAGCTGAGATTATTATAACTGGAACCCTGGACACATACATGACCAAAAAGCCCAACTGACATGAGAGGTGGTAAACCAACAGGTCCTTTTTACCTAAACAACAAGATGTGTCAATTGGCATTGCATTCAAAAATTCCAGTTACACTTCACAGCAATTATAGGATAAAATTATTCATAGTTACAGTTGATTAACTTGTAGATGCTAAACATGTCATGTAGAAAATCACAGTAACCGATAATGTAATGTTAATGTAGAAATCACAGTACTGTTTCTCCATAATACAGTAGATTGCCGTGAGCAAATGATCTAATTTACAGCACACAGCAGTCAATTTCAAGTTTCTTGATGCATCATGGGATCTTTACAGGTCGGGATTATTGGCAGGGGCAAGAACAGGTACTTAGTGGCAGAGTGGTAATAGGACATACAGACTGTGGGCACGATAGAGAAGAGGTTAGCCAAGTGTCTCATTCAAATGTTATTCCACTGTGTTTTATGAACGAAATGTTAACAATGTATGGCCACTTTACCTCCCCTTGTTGTACTAGCAAGGTTAGCTTAGTGAACATTGTCTGTAACAATAAGGAGCTTTAGGTCCCTTTATATGGTAAATTATACCGAGGCGTTCGGTATAAATCAGCATGATCATTGGTAGTGCTATTCATAGCTGTTGCTTTGGCTACAGCTAATTGGGATCCTAATAAATTACATTAAATGAAATTTATGTGTGTAGTTAGTGTGCATAACCCTATCATGAGAATGATAACGTTAACATTAGGGTTTCAAGCCTGTTTCCAGACCCCTGTATCACAGTTTAATGTAGCATTTTAGCGATTCAGAAGTTAATTATAACGTATATGTTATTAGTCCGATTGTCAAGGTAACATTATTTCTATGGCTCAGATAGACGCTGTCTACATTTGTGGTTCATATAGCTAAAACATTGTTAATCTTGACAGAGCTCAGTTAAAACTTTATCTCTTGCTCTCTTTAACTCTTGCCTCAGCCAAGCTGGTAGGCAACATGTACAGCTGAAACAAAGCCATGTTTGCTTCTCTGACCCGCCTTTCTCTGCTTCTGATTGGCTAGTAGTCCTTAACTAGTAACTGAGCATGTGCAACTCCCAACAAAGTTCATTTAGAGGCAAGATGTATCACTCCGTAGCTAAAACAAAGCCTTCAACACAGGGTGGAAAGAGGCTGCAGCAATGTGCAGTATGACAACAAATATGGTGTTTTTTGAAAATTAAACTACGTAAACCTGTTCTGGTACAACCCCTAAATAGGATTTTGAACCTGAAAATGAGCATAATACCACCTCTTTAATTGGTTGCAGTCCAATACACAATAGTTCAAAATGAGCTCCACCTTAACAAACAGTAAAATCCTGCTTTTACATTAATGCATGAGTATTAATAATCTAATGTTAGAATATATAATAATATAACAGTCACACAGTCTGCCTTTTACACTTGCAATGAACTTTTTGAACATTTTTCTGATTCTACTTACAGAACATAATTTTACTAAAGAAACATTTGCAATGCATGACTTTTACTTAACAGACAGTGTGGTATTAATACCTTTACTGAAGTAAAGGATGTGAATACTTCATCCACCATAGTATAAAACATAAACAAGCATGGTTTAAAACATTTACGTATTTGAACAGTGAATATTTTCTAAAAAGATGTGCAGAGGGAATAATCTATTAGTGTGAAGGGAGTTTAGGAGTACTATGACAAAGGTTTCCTCAGGTCATGTTAGGGTCAGTTGCTGAGCTAAGCCCCTGTGACACTGTCTCTCCTCTCTGCCTGTTTGGTCGACTGGCTGATGCAGCTGTCTTGATAAGGATGCACTGGGATCCACTTCCTATCTTTATTTTGTTTTATTACAGACAGACTGACTGGCTGTATGTAGAAAGTGTTGCATGTTACTTGAATGACACACATTGTGACATACGTAACCAACATTCAATCTTCACACATGTATAGAAGAGTGAACAATAATTGTGGACACTGTAGATCTAGGAAGGATTAAATGACAAAGACAGCTGTGAACAGCTGTTTTGTCCAACTGGAATTTATATTATAGCCTACGAGTGGTAAGCTATATTAGTAGTCTATAACCTACTTTTTTCCTGAAATTATAATGAATACACTAAAATTAGCTCTAATCATGCCTTAACCACAGTGGTGTAATATCAGAACACGACTATGAAACAGTTAAATTGGTGAATGTCAAATAATAAACTGTTTAAATATCTGTAGGCAGACTATCCAAATAATGTGTGACCTATAAATATATTAATATTATCTTAACATGATATAATATATACTTTGTATTTAATGTTATAATATTATAACAGTAATTACGGCCCGGGCACGAACGGTGCAAGGTAGCTATTGAAACTGAAGGGATTATTAGGGCCCGAGCACAAACCATGTGAGGTCCTTCTTAAAAATGAAGGAATTATTAGGGCCTGAGCACGAACCGTGCAAGGTCCCTATTGAAACTGAAGGGATTATTTATTTTTTTAGGGCCCAAGCACAAACCGTGCGAAGTCCCTATTGAAACTGAAGGGATTATTTAGGGCCCGAGCACGAACCGTGCAAGGTCCCTATTGAAACTGAAGGGATTATTTATTTTTTTAGGGCCCAAGCACAAACCGTGCGAAGTCCCTATTGAAACTGAAGGGATTATTTAGGGCCCGAGCACGAACCTTGCGAGGTCCCTATTGAAATTGAAGGGATTAATAATCTGAAGGGATTAATAATCAAAGTAATAATAATAATCAAAGTAACCTCAGTTTTGGGGGCCTAAACATACTCGAAGACTCACTAAACTGCACATAATTCAGATGTGGCGAAAAATTTCGTATTTTATGGGTTTCGCGCATGGGTGTGGCAAAATGGCTTGCTAGCGCCCCCTACAGAGCAGTCCCCGGACAAAGTTTTAGCTACGTGTACGAAATTTCTGGGGTATGTATAGCATGTGCAGACACACAAAAAAGCCTTTTTGGAGCCAAGTTATGCAGGAAGGCCATGACGTTTTAATGATGTTACATTCTGAAGCTTCTGAGATCTTGTTAAATGCTGTTGCCTTGGTGAGTACAGGGTTAACTGCATACTTGATATGCTTGATATGCAGTCCCGCCGTGAACACATTTACATTGATCTTCATGTGATTTGGTGGGATTATTGCTCTTATTACAAAGTCCACATTTCTGCTTTTTATGAGATTTTGCTCAACAGGAAGTCAGCCATTTTGCGCTTCCTGCATCATTTTCAATTTTTTTAAAAGATATTTGAAGCCTTTAGGATGCCCACAGAGCCACGAAACTTTGCAGCCAGACTCAAACTGCTAATGTCATTTTTAAGACTGAAGGTTGCACGTTGGCTCTATAGCGCCCCCTAAAGCCTTTTTAGCCGTCACATGGCTAGGAATACTCAGACCCTGACTGCTGAAACGGCATGTCCATGGCATTGAATTTTGATGTTTCGCCATGAAAAAGTAAGTAGCATGTAAATGGACTAGACATGGTCAGATCTGTTCCAAAATTCACATGTCAACTTCTTAGAGACTTACATGTCAATATCCAGTCATAGTGATAGCGCCACCTACTGGCATCAAGAAAGGACATGTTTCAAATTTTACCCCTAATGCCTCATTTTTATGTTTGTCAAAAGGGGTATTCTTTGTTGTCTTATATGGTTGTGGAAAAATGACTCAATAGTGCCCCTACAAATTTTAAAGAAGTATCCCCCGCCGTACGTTTTACATAGCTGTACGAAATGTGGGGGCCGATCTATCATCTCTAGACTTAACATAGCCGTCACATGGCTAGGAATACTCAGACCCGGATTGCTGAAACGGTATGTCCATGGCGTGGAGTTCAATTTTGATGATTCGCAATGAAAAAGGAAATAACATGTAAATGGACTACACATGGTCAGATTTGTCCCAAATTCACATGTCAACCCCTAAGAGACTTACATGTCAATATCCAGTAATTGTGATAGCACCAACTACTGGTATCAGGAAAGGACATGTTTTTACCCCACATAGTGCCTTAGGTACAAATACGTCCATAGTGAGGAATACATACTCCACATAGCAGGTTGACCACATCCATTTCAAAGTTATGCAGGAAGGCCATGATGTTTTAATGATGTTACATTCTGAAGCTTCTGAGTTCTTGTTAAATGCTGTTGTCTTGGTGAGTGCAGTGTTAACTTAAAGTCCTGACCTGAAGACCAACAT